TCACACACTTTCTTCCATTATTTTGTTCTCTTTTCTTCTAAAACTTCCTAATTATTGCTGACTTGTATTTTGTCTTAATCTAGACAGTTCTCTCCTGTGAGATTCTGCTACTATGGCTTGCTGGTATGTTCTTTAGCTCTTTCAATTCCATTTATATGGAATCTCATCCTCTGGGAGAATTCTTCATTGAGTTGATTAAATTTCTCATCTAGTGATTGTTTAATCACTAATTAATAGTTTGCTGGCAACTGTTTGCTTAATTTCTGCTGTAAATGCAGTGAGTGTTGACTTTAGGTCCTCATCGTCCAGACTCGAGCATTTCAATGGGTATGTGGACTTGAGTGGGTTTCTGTCCCTATCTCAACTACAGTGGCATCCCTTAGTTTCATCACTGTTTTTTGAGTTTTGTAAGTGTTAATGGTGGAGGTTTACATTCCAGTTACTTGATAACTGATATATTCAGTTATTTATACCAGACAGCTAATAATACCTTTACTATACAGATTATTTTCCTTACTATGCAGCATTATTTAAGTATGCCCAGCAAACTATCAACTAATTGCTTGGCTGAGATTTAAGGACGTATACTAGATATAGGAATGCCATATCGCACCTGCCTCAAATATAACAGATGCTTATAGTAATGTTTTCGGCAGATGTGGGTCCGGAGGGTACCCACTGAGCTTTGAAGAATAGACTGATGTAAGAAGGACTCAATGCCTGGCCTAGGGAAGGGATATGATGGGCCCAGGACAGAAGGATGGGATCCCGAAGCTTGTCAGAATGTGGTTGTGTGAGGTTTCAGGGGAGGGAGAGAAAAGAGAAATATTTAAAGTATGAAACTATTTTAGGAAATCCTACTAGAAAATATGGAGTCTTAATCTTGCTACTATTGCCATCAAAAAACTTTCACAGCTTTAAACAAATTAAAAATCAGATTAGTTTAGGAAACAAATAAGGGGAAATGAGTTTTCCACTCACCAAAGTAACCTTAGAACCTAGTTTAAGTACCCAGCACAGAACTTAATAAATACATATTGAATCCTGGGAGAGAGAGAGTAGTGATAATGTACAATTTCCACTTCCTTATTATTTTCACTACCTTATTCAGTACTGTATCAAGCAGGGCCAAAAGAATTTTCTCTAAATTTGAGAACAAGACTATTTCTGATGCAATTTTATAGTCCTTAGCATAGGACTATAGAAATCATGCACATAGTACATAATTCAAATACATGCTGGATTAAAGAAATGACTTCCTCAACTGTTTTACTCTCAAACAGAATATCCAAATCTAACAGAATACTCTATTATTTTTAGCTTCTATACCCAAAGAAAATCGACCATTTCTATCATTGCCATCAATTCCATTCCAATCCATACTATTATCAACTTTCTCCTGAACTAGGGTTATAGTCCCTAAGTGATTTACCTATGAGACCTCTTAACTTTATCCCTATGAAGGGAAATGAGCTTTTCCTCTGTATCCAAAAGCCTACTGGATTTTAATCTGGCTTTCTCCTCTAGCACTCTCCAGGTGAAGCATTTACTTCAGGAAGTAAGAAGTCCAGATATATTGATAGATATATATAGTATATATACCACTTTAAAGATAAACAGATTGTTCTTATAAGCTCTTCTGGAATGGTGATAAAAATATCTAGCATAGACAAAGCTGAAGTAAAAGAATAGGACTTTTTAGAGTCATTGTAGACAGATGTAGTCCTATATCAGGAACTCTAGGATCTGTGCAGGTGTTTAGCATCTGCTTTTATTGGGAGGAGGCGGGAGTAGTGTAGGGAGGCAAGTAATGACCAGTAGTACTCAGAGGTCACTCTTGGCTCTTTGCTCAGGTATCATTCCTGGCAGTGCTCAGAGGACTATATGCAGTGTCGGGGATTGAATTGGGGTCTGACGAATGCAAGGCAAGTTCTTATGCCTTTCCTATCTCTGAATCCTGCTCTTATACAATTCTAATTCAGATTTGTAGGCGAACTTAAATTATCAGGCGCTTCATCCAACTTTATGTTGGCAGGGGAATATGATCTCATCTCCCTGACACCTAACAGAGTGACAATATTCTAAATATTATTATCCAGCTAGGCACAAATGCTGCCAGAGCCCATGTGCTGCTTGTACCCACTCAGCCGAACATTTTGTAGTGGCCGAGCACGTGTCACCCACATCTCCCCTCTTGAGATGCGTGCTTTCATGCTTTTATGACTAATGCTGGGATGTGTGTGTGTGTGTAGGGACTCTCTCCGCCTTTGAAGAAGCCCGTGTTTTCTCTTCTCTTCTCTTCTCTTCTCTTCTCTTCTCTTCTCTTCTCTTCTCTCTCTCCCCCTCTCTCTCTTCTCTGTCTTCCCTTCCACACCTTCGAAAAACCTCCTAATAATATCTATTTACTTAAAAAAATTATTATCCAGATAGAGTCATAAGTGAGAACATATCAATCCTCACCTCAAAACCATAAGAACATGAAATCTCAATCTAACAGCTTTATTCGGACCTTATCTGTTACCTCCTTGGTGATTCTACTTGAACCACACTGATAAAGCTGATTCCACCTCATTGCCTAAACACATACTGTTCACCAAATAATTCCAAGATCATCATTTGGCTTACTCTCACAATTCAGTTCTCTTCTTAAATGTCACCTCATCAAAGAGACCGACTTAAGAGCTGAACACTATCCAAGTTATCTGTCTATGTAGATATTTTCGTATTTATTTTCACCCTCCCCTGGTTACCACCTACAGGATGTCAATTCATGATGGCAGGAAAGGAATTTTGTATTTTCTGCTCTACCTAATACCTATAATCATGCATAGCACACAGCAAATAACATTAGTTGCCTTCATTTGTCCATAAAAATAATTTATCCTCCATGCCCCTGGCCTGACTACACTGTCTCGGAACAGACCTCACCAAGATGTAATTCGCTGAAAATCTGGGTATGCAGGTTTTGTGACTGAAATCTCCAGGCTTTCTCAAGGCTGGGTTGGCTTACCTACCCCCCATCTTTCTGTACTTTCAGAAGCCTTGGCAGTCATGTCCACACCCCAAAAGTGCCACCAAGTCTTACCTTCCTGATAAGAATACTAAATGCCATGAACAAAAATGATGACCTATGTGTACCTTTATTGCAACCATAATGAACAAAAGGAAAAGGGGGGGAGAGAGAGAGAGAGAGAAAGTGAGAGAGAGAGAGAGAGAGAGAGAGAGAGAGAGAGAGAGAGAGAGAGAAAGTGCCTGACATAAAGATAGGCTGGAGGGGTGGGGGAATGGGATGTTGGGGAATGGTGGGAGGCAAACGGGGGACATTCGTGGTGGGAAATGTACATTGTTGGAGGGATGAATGTTGAATCATTGTATGACTGAAAATCATGAACAGCTTTGTAATGGTGTATTTCACAGATATTAAATTATTTTGTATTTTTGCTTTTTGGGGTCACACCTGGCATTGCACAGGGGTTACTCCTGGTTCATGCACTCAGGAATTACTCCTGGCGATGCTCGGGGGACCATATGGGATGCTGGGAATCAAACCCAGGTTGGCCGTATGCAAGGCAAATGCCCTACCTGCTGTGCTATCATTCCAGCCCCTAAAAAAAATTTTTTTTAAGTGATGTGGAGGGGCTAGAGCAATAGCACAGAGGGTAGGGTGTTTGCCTTGCATGCGGCCAACCCGGGTTCAATTCCCAGCATCCCATATGATCCCCTGAGAACCGCCAGGAATAATTCCTGAGTGCATGAGCAAGGAGTAACCCCTGTGCAATGCCAGGTGTGACCCAAAAAGTAAAAAAAAAAAAGGGATGTGGAGTCATGCCACTTCAGTCAGCTTTAATCAGTAGCAGAATAAATAGCAGTACTCCTACATTTAAAAATTAATAATAATAATTTGTCAATTAGCAATGTAAATTTGTAAATCCTTGAAAAGTCCTTTTTCCTCATTCTTATGATTCATATAATGTTTTTCTTATTACATATTTTCCTCAAGGGGCAGATATCATGTCTTACAGTCTTTATAAATGTTCAACAACCCTATTGAAACATTTTTTATGTTTCACAACAACTTAGAAAACTTGTGAATTTTTTTATATTTCACCATGTGGACATTAAGTCCTTGTCTGGGATTTTTACTAAGCTGTTATTGCTAGTTGCGCCTTCTGTATTAATGTTCTTCATATCTGAGCTTAGTTAACTTCTTAGTTAGATGGTACATTCCCATCTAATTTGGTGTGCTCCTATTAGGATGTGAGTATTATAGAACTTGGGGATGGTGTGCAGCCGTGAATCCTCCCATAAATCCAGAATATTTAACAAGCAAGCTGTAAAGCTCAAATGGCTGCCAGCGCTTCTGGAAGTACAGGGGTTTGGGGGACGGGTAGAGGAAGCTGCCTGTCCTCACTCCTAGAAGGACACAGCCCCAGAGTTCTCAGCCAAAACTAAACCAGTGTAACTGAAATTTTCAGTAGTTTGGCCTCTCTGCAGAGCTCAGTTGTGAGGCAATGGAGTCCAGCTACTGGCATACTTGCAGCTGTTGGGTTGGGAGTGCAGCTGCCAGGGTTTCACCAGGATAGGATCTTGGACCGCCCTCCACCCCCCCTCCCCATCATCACCAAGGGCCCCCAGAATTCTTAGCCAAGGACTGGTATATCTGAGAATTTTTGCAGTTGGCTGATCTCTCTCAAGATTTAATCATGAGTCTGTAAAATTAGGCCAATAGATAAGTTTCATGGCAGCAGCTGTGGGATGTGGTCTAATTCCATTCAAATTTATTTCCAAATCTCTGGTAAAAACTTGCTATAGCAGGGGCCAGAGAGAGAATACAGTGGGTAGAGCTCTTGCCTTGCACAAGCTAACCTGAGTTCACTCCCCAGAAGCCCAACAAGACTGGTCTCTAAGTGGAGAGCCAGGAGTAAGCCCTGAGCATGACCCAGTGTGGCCTCAAAACAAAAAAGAAAAAACTAAGCAACAAAACTGGCTGTGGCACTTACCTCTTGCATCTGTTTTATCTGATTCACTAAGACATAAATCATCCTTGGCATCAGTGCTCCCCTCAATACCATGTCTTACAAAAAACTTGATGTCATTTTCATCAATTTCAATCTCATCATCTACATCGTATTTCTGTAAACCCTCTAATAGCTTTACTGCTGCTAACTGAGCAAACCTGTAGGAGGAAAAAAATCAACAATTAACAAGATCAACACAATCTCCTTTCAAACTGGTATTGCAGTTTGCACATAATTTAGGAAATTATACCCTGTAAATTGTTCCACCAACATATCCACCAATGAAGAAGCAAAACTTTATCTAAAGACTGGTGACAATTTGAAAAATATTTAGCTTTATGGAAAACTCATTCACTGAACACTAATGACAAGCAGCCATATAAAAACTAATTAATTTTTTTCCTTAAATTTTTAAATACACTTTATAACATACTTTTCTGAAGCTGTTTTCACATATTTCATTCTTGAAATATAGTCATGTGGTACATAACTACCTGTGTTATAAAGAGTTCTGTAGTACAAGTATCCCATTGTATAGATTTATATTTTATTTAGCCGTACTTCTACCAGTAGTTAGATAAAAATTATAAGATAATTGCAATCATAAGAAAAATCCTAATAAATATCAATAATAATTTAACTGGAAGAGAAGACTCAATGTCAGAAGAATATCTGATGTTTCCAATAAAACTCTTTGACTGAATTAAAAAATCTATAATGACCCTACTGATAATTAACTTACTACATTTTTTAAAATCACCTAATTTAGAGTATTCCTACTGTATCTAGTTTTATTTTTTTTATTTTTTTATTAGTGAAACATCATGAGGTACAGTTATAGGCTTACAAATTTTGTGCTTGGGTTTCAGTTGTACAATGATCAAGTGCCCATCCCTCCACCAGTGCCCGTCATCCATCACCACGGGTCCCAGCATCCCCCCCCACCCCCCATCCCCCCCGTCCCATCCTGCCTCTGTGGCAGGGTATTCCCCCTTGTTCTCTCTCTCTTCTTTTGGGTCCTGTGTTTTGCAAGAGAGGCATTGAGTGGCAATCATGTTTGGTCTATAGACTACTTTTAGCATGCTTCTCCCACCCTGGGAGGGTCCTCACAACACCCTTCATTTGGTACTCTCTTCTCTATCTGAGCTTCCTTTTCACCTAGAGCCTGTGGCTGGCCTTCCATTCATGGAGCAAAATTCCTGGTACTAATCTCAGCCATTCCTGGGTGTTAGTCTCCCTTTTTGTTGCTTTATGTTCCCCAGATGAATGCAATCTTTCTGTGTCTATCCCGCTCTTTCTGACTCATTTCGCTTAACATGATACTTTCCATGTAGTACCACTTGTATGTAAATTTCATAACTTCATCTTTTCTAACAGCTACATAGTACTCCATTGTGTAAATGTACCAAAGTTTCTTTAACCAGTCATCTGCTCTTGGGCACTCAGGTTTTTTCCAGATTCTGGCTATTGTAAAGAGTGCTGCAATGAACAAACAATTGCAGATGTCACTTTGACTATACCTTTTTGCCTCTCTGGGATATATTCCCAGGAGTGCTATAGCTGGGTCAAATGGGAGATCAAATTCTAATTTTTTGAGAGTCGTCCATACTGTTTTCCAAAAGGGCTGGATCAGCCGGCATTCCCACCAGCAGTGAAGGAGGGTCCCTTTCTCGCCACATCCGCGCCAGCATTGGTTGCTTTTGTTCTTGTGGATGTGGGCCAGTCTCTGTGGTGTGAAATGATATCTCATTGTGGTTTTGATCTGCATCTCTCTGATGATTAGTGATGTAGAGCATTTTCTCATGTGCCTTTTTGCCAGTCGAATTTCTTCTTTGCGAAAGTTTCTGTTCATTTCCTCACCCCATTTTTTGATGGGGTTGGATAATTTCTTCCTGTGGAGTTTAACCAGTACCTTGTATATCCTTGATATCAACCCCTTGTCAGATGTGTATTTGGTGAATATCCTTTCCCATTCTGTAGGCTGTCTTTGTATTTTGGTCACTGTTTCTTTTGAGGTACAGAAGCTTCTTAGTTTAAGATAGTCCCATTTGTCTATCTCTGTTTTCACTTGCTTGGCCAGTGGCGTGACATCTTTGAAGATACCATTGGCTTCAATATCATGGAGAGTTTTGCCGACTTTGTCTTCAATAAACATTATGGATTCTGGTCTGATGTTGAGGTCATAAGTCCATTTTGATCTTACTTTTGTGCATGGTGTTATGCAGAGATCTGAGCCCACTTTTTTGCATGTAGCCATCCAATTTTGCCAGCACAGTTTATTAAAGAGCCTTTCCCTGCTCCATTTCACTTTTCTTGCCCCCTTATCAAAGATTAGATGATTATATGTTTGGGAGGAAATGTCAGTATATTCAACACTGTTCCATTGGTCTGCAGTTCTGCCTTTGTTCCAGTAAAATGCTGTTTTAATTATTACTGCCTTGTAGTAGAGTTTGAAGTTAGGGAGGTTGATTCCTCCCATTTTCTTTTTCCCAAGAATTGCTTTAGCTATTCGTGGGGGCTTATTGTTCCATATAAATTTCAGGAGTGTTTGCTCCATTTCTTTGAAGAATGTCATGGGTATCCTTATAGGGATTGCATTGAATTTGTACAGTGCTTTGGGAAGTATTGCCATTTTGATGATGTTGATTCTCCCCATCCATGAACAGGGGATGTATCTAGTTTTAGGACTAAGTATAGCTCTAGTTTGATTAACTTTCATACTTCCTCATCCCAAAGTATTTAACATGGCTGTGAAATTTAATGAAAAAATAAACCTTTTTCATTCACTTTTTTTTCTATATCTCTATAAGCTTACAAAATCTTGGCTTTGGAGTTGTTACTATGACTGCATATAATCTGGAAACTTATACCATTTGCTAATTAAAATGAAAGTTCTTCCTCTTAGAAGATGTTTTAATTATTATCCATTTATAGACATATATTTAAAATCCTTTTTTATTCACATAGCTAAAATATACACACATATATCCTATATCCTTACCTTCCACTAAGTACAGCAAATCATTAAACATATAGAAATAAACATGCTGGAAGTTTCAAGATTAATATAATTCATTATTTCTTTGACTGGGCTGTTATGTAAAAGTTACCACTTATTGAGTACTTGATATACGCCACATTTAAGGACATACCTATAACCACAATATGCATTTTGGTGAATGAAATTTAAAAAAATAAAGAAATGTGTGGGAAAACAAGTTGTGGGAGAATTGGGAGGGGCCCCCAGGACATAAACTGGTATGTGCATCTGGTGAGATGTATGCAGATAATATAAGGTACCCACTGATGACAATATGGGTTAAGATTTGTGACAGAGTATAGGAGTTTCATAGGACTTATATAGCTTGGGGATTTGCCACAACCTATTGTGACACACAGGGTGGAGAAAAGTTTTACTCTCATGATTAGTAAGGTGGTGAGAACTAGTATAGGATGAAGCTCCTTGTCAGGTCTTAGGGAAAGGGACTGTATTTCTCATGGGTGTTTGAGAGCCCGGCAAGCTACCGAGAGTATCCTGTCCGCACAGCAGAGCCTGGGAAGCTCCCCGTGGTGTATTTGATATGCCCAAAACAGTAACAACAAGTCTAACTTCGTGTTCCTGGAGCGAGCAGATGCCATTGGACTACACTAGCACGCAACAGGAAGAAATGAAGACATTACTGGTGCCCGTCCGAGCAAATTGATGAACAATAGGACAACAGTGCTACAGTGGGAAAACTACTAATAACATCAGAATAGCTATGATATTAAATCACCCATGTGATAGTGATGGAAATACAGACAAATATCAATGAACATAACAGAGAATACAGAAATAAACTGCCCACATATGTGGAAAAAAAACTTGAACAAAGATATAAAGATAATGCAGTAGAGAATATAGTAGTTTCAATGAATAGTGCTAGAACAATGAAATATTCTAATGCAAAAAAATTCAAATACATATGAACTTTTGTGAACCAAATATTTCTAATAACACCAAAAGCATAAATCCATAGAGAATACACCATTTAAAAACTTTTGTTTGGGGGGCTGGAGTGGCTGTACAGCAGTTAGGGCACTTGCCTTGAATACAGTCAACAGAGTTTTATCCCTGGCACCATATAAGAGCCCATCAGGAGTGAGTGATCCATAAGGCACAGTCAGGAGTAAACCCTGAGCACCACTGGATGTAGGGAATCAAAAAACAAAAACATCAACTTTTGCTTTTGGGGCTCAAGAGATAGCTCAGTGTGCTGGAAGCAAGCAGAAGGCCAGGGCACAATGCCTGGCACCACATACCCCCAGAGAACCACAGGAGCAGTGCCTGAGTACAAATTTTAAGCAGGAAGTTTTCAATAACTCTATATAAATTGTCCCCTTGATCTTTTCCCGTAAGTCTTTATTCCATGTGTGTTACTTCTCACCACATCATTCAAATGGACAACTTGGGCATCCTTTTCACCCTCACTGTAACATGCATAATATGTAAGATAGTGATTAAGAATAATTGTATTTTTACGTTTGTCTCACGAGAGAACTTGAGAAAAGAAATTGCCAAATCTTTGTAATTCTAATGCTAATCACAGCACTTGGCACATAGCAAACATGCAGGAAACTGAATAAAGAAACAATCTAGTGAGCATATAATCCTAATATTCCTTAAAGAGCTGACCTAGATAAACTGAAAATATTCCATGATAGCTGTCACACTTAACTCAAATGTAAACACCTAAGTTTGTTTAGAATCCCAGTATTCCTTTTAGCACACAATGTTCCTCTCAGGCTTTCTGGTGAGGTGATCCTTCACTGTCCTGAGCACTGCAGAATGTCTAGTACTCCTAAACCTGACTTCACTACTAGCTGTGGTCACTGCTCACTCTAACATCCTCCCACTACATTACCAAATGACCATCCCCACCACAGAAGGTAACAACGCTACCTCCCAGCTCTGAATCACTACTCAATTCAGCTAGCTGTCACTAACATTGGCATTTGACTGAGGGGCCTACAATTCAATTAAGAGATAGTTTGGGTACAAGAAAATACATATACATATACATACTTAAAAATACATATACATATACTTAAAAATACATATACATACTTAAAAATAAAAAAGTACAAGACAAGGATACCTCTTTGCTACATCACTGGGTTTCTCCCCTGCTTTATCAGTAATATTACTGTCTGCTCCCATTTTAATCATCCACTGCAAACACTCTATGTGACCTTGCCCAGCAGCTGTAATAAAAAAAAAGGAAGAAATACACTAAAGAGTTATTGTTATTAATTCATACATTCATAAGATGTCTTCAATAACCTTCATTAAGACAAGGTTTCAATAACTTTCATTAAGATAACTTCAATGGTATCTTACAGTAACCAGGAAAAGTAGGTTGTTATTTTCTCCATTTAATCAACAAACTGTTTTTTTCTTTTTGAGCCAACCCTGGCAGTGCTCAGGGCTTACTACTGACAGGGCTCTGGGGACCATACGAGGTGCCAGAAATCAAACTTAGTTCAGCTATGTGCAAGTCAAGCACCCAACCCATAGTACTATCTCTCTGGCGCCTATACACTAAACACTTAATGAAATATCTATAAAGATCAGGCTCTATGTGGAGAACTACACAAGTATGTTAAAGCTCAAAAATGTGGTTTAACATCACACGGATAATTATGGGCTTGAAATTAGAATCAAGGTTTTTCTAATTCTGTGCTCAAGGATTACTCCTGGTGGTGCTGGAGTTTGAAGCTGGGTTGGGCACATGTAAGGCAAGTGCCTTACTTGCTGTACTATTTCTTCAACCTGTTTTTTTTTTTTTTAATTCTCATTCAGTGTTCATCCTCCACTTTCTATAATGCTGAGCAAATCTTTGAAAGACTTGAACGTGGGCACAAACCATAGCACAACTAAGGACTTCTATATTTAACTTCAAAAAATTATGCAATATTTTATGTAAATAACTAATTCCTAAAACCTTCACAACTCAAAATTTAAAGACTCCCTCAAGTCATTAATGATTACCTAAACTCTGTACCACATTGTTAAATCTTGTCCTCAAAACACAGGCACTCAAAATTAATTTTAACCTCCACGACTATGTGTATTTATCTTTCCCCTACGGCTGACCACTCTCAACTATGAGCTAATCTATTAATTTCTGTTAATCTTCAGGGTCATTTCTAGGCTCAGGAAAACGAAGGGAAGAGGAGAAACATGGTACACTAAAAGATCTGAGTTTAGATCTACTTAACAATTAAACTTAAGGACTAGGCTGAACTTAGTGGTGAGCACAATAGACACCCTATAAATGTCTATAGAATTGATTAATGAATGAAAAACTGATACCACAGTTCTGCTTTTACTATCTATAGAACCTTAAGTGTCAAGCGAACATAAGTGCTAAATTCTCATAATACTTCCTAATAATTTACTTTGCAACTTCTTCTGCTCCTCAATTCCTCCTCCTATATTTCTACTGTATATATTTTAAGAACAGTAATATTTTTGTAATTAATTACTAATAAAATTCTTGTTCATAGAGTTACACACACACACACACACACACACACACACACACACACACACACACACACCTCCTTAACAGTAAGATCTAGATCTCACACTAGGCTAATGACTAATGTGAATATATACTGGCCTCTGCAAAATGAAATTTTTGATATGACTTTGGAGGGTTAAAAATAATAATTACTGAGGCTGGAGAGACAGTACAGCAGGTAGGATGCTTGCCTTACTCACGGCCAACCCCATTTAGACCCTAACAACCCATATTGTTCATTGAGCATCGCCAGAGTCATTCCTGAGTACAGAGCCAGGAAGAAGCCCTGAGCAATACCGGTATGATCCAAAAACAAACAAACAAACAAAAATCTACTTTCAATACTAGCAGGAGAGAATACACAAAGCTACACCCAGCAATGACCCTGGAGACCAAACTGTGTAGTGTATTAGGAAGCTAACTCTGGGCCAGGGTGATAGCTCAGAGGGCTGAAGCACATATGTTTCATGCAGAAGCTTCCGGTTCAAGCCCCAGCTCCACATTATTTCAGAGCACTTCCAGGAGTGACTTGAGCACTGAACTTGGAGCAACCCCTTAATATCATTGGGAAATAGCTCCAAAACCAATTTTTCAAAAAGGAACTTTTGCCCTACCCTTCTCTACTAAACTTAGGCCTAACTGCCAAATTCAAGAGTTAGTACATCAAGATCTTAGGTCTTGATCTCTCCTAGAGTCAATACAAATTTAACAACAATAACAAAAAAATTTAGGGTCTGATTTTCCAGACCCTAAAAAAGGTCACCTGAGATAAGGACAACAAAATATTCTGTCTTTAAAAGTTATAATAATTGGGGCAGATTGTACAGTGGGTAGGACACTTGCCTTGCATGCAGCCAACTGGGCTTGATCCCCAGCATGCCATATGGTCCCCCGAGTAATGTCAGTAGTAATTCCTGAGCACAGAGCCAGGAGTAACCCCTGAGCATCGCTGGGTGGGGCCAAAAAAAAAAATAAAGAAACAAATTACCAAAATCATGGTGGAGTAAAGCAAACACCAGGCTGGAATATTTTTTTTTTTTTTTGGAATATTTCACTTTTGAAACTCTAATAATAATAGTTTGTAAACCATGGTGCCCTCCCTTTTTTTTTATTTTAAATTACAGAAATCATTTATAGACTTAAAAGGGTATGTTAAATGAAAAGAGGAAATCCTGCCACTTGTGAAAAATGGAAAAGGAAAACAATACTTGATGGTTCACTCTTATGTGGGACATAAAGAAACAATATAAGGCCAGAGGCTTAGCTTTGTAGTATCCTGGGTGCCTCACATGTTTGAGGGAAGGAAGAGGGGTGGGGGACGTTGGGAGGGAAGGAGGAAAGGTATGTGAAAAATTTCTGAACTTCCCTCTTAATTTTGCTGTGAAACTAAAACTTATCTTGAGAATTGCCTTACAGAAAGAGAAAGAAACTACATTGATTAAGTTCCATGTCTGAATTCAACTAGTTTAACAATATAATAGAATTGATGCATCAAAACATAAGTATACATTATATCATATACATACACACACGTGTGTGTGTGTGTGTGTGTGTGTGTGTGTGTGTGTGCATGTAAAACAAGACTGCCTCAACCTTTTTTAAATATCATCAAATCTGAGGCCAGGGAGGCCAAGATAATACAGTGGGTAATGTGAATAAAAATTTACACGGCTTCCATGCCTACTCAGATGTGAGGAAAAAATGTGTGTGAGGCGGGGAAGGGGGTCCTTTAGTACAACACATTTAATGGCCAAGAGCCACCTTCCTGGAGGAACAAAGAGACATGGACTACAACTGATGGTCAATGGACATTTTATTCAGAACGTAATAGCATACTTATAGAACATCTGAGGGGGTTTGAAGTCTAGGACTGCACATGGGTGTGACTGACAATTTACAGAGGTAAAGTGTTTCAGCAAAATCAATTCTTCTGGGGGGGATTAACTCGGAGATGCTCTGTCTCTCAGGGGCTATTCTGAGAAATTCACTAAGAGGCAACAAGCATCTATATTGCTTTTCTCTTTCTCTTACTTCTAAGACATATCAAACAATTAAATTTACTTATTAATATTTGCAGTAATTTGGATACACAGTAAGAAATACAGATCACAAAACTTAGTTCTCTGAGCACCAGGAGTTAAGGTTTTAAGTCGGCTCTGCTTTTAGCAAATTCCAGACTGTCAGCTTAGCTTTTCCTACTCCATGGGGTCCTGTCTTTTAGGTCATCGCGACTTGTATCAAGACAGTGCTCTGTGATTTCTGGACTGTCCCATATTGAAGTCAGGGTAGCTTTGCTGCTTGCCCCAGGTTTTGAGGGTATTAGGAACTACTGTGACCGAAGCCTGAGTCAGTTAATCATAATGGATGTTCAGGAGTCAATTCCCAAGTAACGGAAGTATAGCATTAACAAAGAAGCATTTAAGCAAAGAACACTGTTCTATAGTAAAATATGAAAAGGTTATATGGGAAAGAGAAAAGCAAGTAATTCACTGAAAATACAAAGTGCAGAGTTACCAGAAGGTTTGACTTTGTAAATAACCAAACCTGACAACTTGGGGGTTCTAGTAGCTAATAGAAAAGAGGTAAAGCACAAAGGAAAGGTTAAAGATAAACTTGGGGATTGGGAGTGTTCATAAGAGCACTACAAGCTTCTCTAGGGGAAGGAAAAGGGCAATTCACTGATGAAGCCTAAAACACTTTGGATTAATATCCAACAGGTAGGGTGTTTGCCTTGCATGTGGCAGACCTGGATTTAATTCCATGTACCTCCTGTGGTCCTCTGAGCCCTGCTAGGAGTGATTCCTATGCTGAGAGCCAGGAATAGGCCCTAAGCACTGCCAAGTATAAACCCCCACCAAAAACAAATCTGGGGGGCTGGAGCGATAGCACAGCAGGTAGGGCGTTTGCCTTGCACGCAGCTGACCTGGGTTCAATTCCCAGTATCCCATATGGTCCCCTGAGCACCGCCATGGGGTAATTCTTGAGTGAAGAGCCAGGAGTAACCCCTTTGCATCACCAGGTGTAACCCCAAAAAAAGCAAAAAAAGAAAATCTGGGACTGAAATATAGCATTTAACCCTGTATACGGTTGACCTGGATTCAATCCTTGGTACCCCGTTTAGTCTCCCAATCCCTAACAGGAGTATAACCTTCAACACAGAGCCAGGAGTAGGCCCTGACCACATCAAGGTATGAATCAAAACAAAAAACAAAAAAAGTTATGAAATCTCATTTATAAATCATAAATACTATTTAGTTTTATAAGATATGAGTTTAACACATTTCCATATTGTAACACCAATGCGGGAGGAGATAGAAGGAGCAAGAGGGATGCTAACTGTAAATTCAATATACATTGAAATAGAATAAAAGGAATTTTACCCAAAATCCTTATTTTGGATAAACTGATTAGGGTAACTGACTATGCAATTTTCTATAACAAAATAATATGCAGTATCTAAAAAAATGTTAAGAACTTTAAATATTTAAGAGCAAATGTTAAAACTAGATTTAACAACTGTTAAATGACTACGAAAATTGTTTCAATAACAGACACTGCAGTGCTTACATATTAATCAAAAGAAAAACAAAGAAAAATATTAAAATGTAGGAAATAAAAACAAAATTAAACATTATAAAAATTAAAATATAAAAGTAAGCTTTAACATTTTTAAATTATTATTTAAATTAAATACTCCTTATACCACATATGGTGTACAGACATACCCTAAAATACAAGGTAAATTTTACATTTCAAAGTGTTTTTAATTCACAATTTTTAAATTTTTTTCTTTTTTTGTTTTTAAATTAATTTATTTAATTAATGAACTAAGTAAAGTAAGTAAAGGCCCTCCCGTTGATCATCGATTTGCTCGAGCGGGCCCAGTAACGTCTCCATTGGAGACTTTGTTGTTACTGTGTCTGGCATATCGAATACGTCACGGGGAGCTTGCCAGGCTCTGCCGTGCGGGCGAGATACTCTCGGTAGCTTGCCGGGCTCTCCGAGAGGGGCGGAGGAATCGAACTCGGGTCGGCCGTGTTGGCTGCGTGCAAGGCGAACGCCCTACCCGCTGTGCTATCGCTCCAGCAAACTATGATTTATTAATAGTTAAGTTTTAGGCATATAATACTTCAACACCAATCCCATCATTATTGTCAACATCCCTCCACCAGTGTTCCTATATTCCCTCCCCACAAACCTCCACCTTATTCCTGCCTGTCAACTTTATAGGCACATTACAAAGTTAATTCACAATTTGAGGGAAGGGTCCCACCCAGCAGCACTCAAGACACTCCTCTTTGGGGCGGGGGGTGAGGGGGGCGGAGCGGCGACAGACGGTGGGGGCACTTATGATGCTTAGAATTGAACCCGGTAGTCCATTAAACCATCTTCTTGGCCCCTGATTCATAATTATTTTAAAAGCAAAACTGATCAGCAATCATGTAGAAATGAAAAAGAAACAAGATCGTAACTCACCTTTATGCATAGGAGTGGATTCATTATTATCACGTTCATTAATATTAATTATTCCATCTTCAATTAATTTCTTAAGCATTTCTAAATCACCTTTAAAGGCAGCCACATGACCTGGAAATTCTAAAGCTGTAAATAAAAAATTCAATATTTTAATATACAGATAAGTTATAAGTTATCCTTTTTCCCCATCTTAAGGAGTCATAAAATAACAGAGAATCATCAAATAATAGCATTATTGGGACTACAGTGATAGTACAGCAGATAAGAGTGTTTGCTTGCATGTGGCTGACCTGTGTTTCATCCCTGGCACCATATATGGTCCCCAGAACCCAAAAGGTGTGATCCCTGAGTGCAGAGTCAGGTGTAGGCTTTGAGCACCACTGGTTGTGACCAAGATAAATAGTAACAGTAGTAGTAGTAGTAGTAGTAGTAGTAGTAGTAGTAGTAGTAGTATTTAAGCATCCCTTTCACTCTTCAGGATCTCAAATATGCCAAGAGAAATACTGCACCAGAACCTCTTAGCTATATTCCTTTTTCCCCTCATGCTATCACAGAACACAAGAAAATGGTCATTTCCAACCCTTGGCCCAAAATGGCAAAATATGCTTGGCCTTAAATTCTACGCCTGTACAGACCTCTTTGTTTGAAAAGAAGTTTTTTTTAAAAAGCAAAATAAATTAGAAGTAAATTATATACATGTACAGGTGTGCTTACATATAGTCACTGTCACTGTCCTCCCGTTGTTCATCGATTTGCTCGAGCGGGTCCAGTAACATCTCCTTCGTGAGACTTGTTGTTACTGTGTTTGGCATATCGAACACGTCACGGGGAGCTTGCCAGGCTCTGGCGTGCGGGCGAGATACTCTCGGTAGCTTGCCGGGCTCTCCGAGAGGGGCGGAGGAATCGAACTCAGGTCGGCCATGTTGGCTGCCCGCTTACATATAGATATAGATATATTTGTGATCTCTCTACATATAGAGATATAGAGAGATATATCACTCTCTATTTAGAGAGTAAAGTACTCTTTCTCACACACACATGTATATCTCTTATATACTATGAGGTTTGGCATATAAGAGATATGACAAAATGTTTTAAATAATAGTAGATATACATATTGAAACAGACACAACAGTAAAAATTTGTAAGATTTATTTACCCCTGTTTGGCAGCTATGCGATATAGCTATACTAACTTTGTAATGTGGAAAGAAAACACGCTGGAATAAACTAACAATCTAAAAGGAGAAAAGCTGGATATTTACACTGCCTGGTTCTAAGTCTTACTAAGAGCCTAGAGAAACTAGACAGTAAGCAAATAAAAATATCTGTCAATAAGAATACAGATGTCAAAAACACACCCATACAAATATAGGCAACTAATTTTTGACTAAATTTTCATTGGGTAAAAGGAAGTATTTTTTTAATGTTATGAATGCTAGGGGGCTGGAGTGATAGCACAGCGGGTAGGGCGTTCGCCTTACACGCGGCCAACATGGCCGACCCGAGTTCGATTCCTCCGCCCCTCTCAGAGAGCCCGGCAAGCTACTGAGAGTATTCGATATGCCGAACACAGTAACAACAAAATCTCCAATGGAGACGTTACTGGGCCCGCTCGAGCAAATCGACGATCAACGGGAGGGCCTTTACCTTTACCTTTATGAATGCTAGGATTTGGGTTCATTTTGCTTGTCAAAGTATTATGATAGTAAGCAACTATATCAGCCAGGGACCCAAAAAGAAATGGATATACACCACCACTGCAATATGCCAAAAAATCAAACTGTTATTTACAAACCTGTGAATTGGCACAGAAGACCAACAAGGGATAATGCAGTAATAAGACAAACGAGTTACCATAACCAAAAAGAAAAGAATTGTATAAAGTGGTTACTCCCAGTCAAGGGACACAGAAAGACAACATAAAGAAACCCTATGACGTTACCAAAACGGAATCCATCTGAGACAAAAATCTAGGATAAAGAATGATGATGAGAACCTGAAGTACAATAAGAAGATATCTAACCAGGCCCACTCTAATATCTACTCCTGTATTATGAAGATTAAAAAGTGGTGTCACTCCTTATGGAAAATGCCATTTCCTCAAATATTAAAACTTGAACTACTTTGAGGGGAAGTTCACACTGCTGGTGGGACTGGTATCAAAATACTGTACACTGAAAACTCATAAATAAATATTAAAAGAGATCAACAAACTGCAGAGATGCCTCCAGACCCTGCGCCAGGTTGATTCTCATATACAGGGTATACTGGGGGAGGAGGGAGGGAGGGCGGGTGAGGTCACCACCTGCCCAAACAGACCCCCGGCAGCCAAAATAACCCTCCATAATCCAATTGCCACCAGGCTCATTGGCCAGACTCCACAGGCTCAGGACAAGACTCATCCAGGAATGAATCTGTTGAAAAACTCAGATATACAGGTATTGTAACTGAAATCTTCAGGCTCTCCATGGAGTTGGGGATGGGCCACCTCCCCTGACCTCTCTGTTCTTCCAGGAGTCTAGCACTCATGCCCATAAACTGCCTCTTCTGGTGCCATATAAATTCATTAACCACCATATCAAGTCCTTAATTGGTCATGATCTAGAAATTCATAAGTAAATCTTGAAAAAGGTCAAACTGCAGAGATGCTTTCACACCCCAAAGTCACCATCCAGTTAAAAATTTAACACCAGCTGTATCACCCCATTCAAAAGTTTAGAATTACTGGAGTGCACGGCTGCACAGGAGTAGCACACCACATTGGATGGGACGTAAACTAGAAGGCAACCAATCTAGATTAAGAAAATATTAACCAAGAATTAACATGGTTAATTGAACAGCATGTTATTGGGCCCTAATATAAGGGCTTAATAGCTCCAGGGTGAAATACAACAATCTTCACACACTTTCTTCTAAGAAAAAATGTTTTTTAAATTTTTATTTATTCATTTATTTTGAATACCCATCCCTCCACCAGTGACCATTTCTTCTAAGAAAATTTTGTGGAACATTTTTAGAGAATTATCCATAACAAGCAATATAAAACAAATTATTTAGGATATTGGGGCAGGCTTGGGTGATGATTGGGTAAACAAACGATGCACATCTACATAATGGAATACTAAACCAGGAAAAAATGGTCATGAAATTTGCTTATAAATGGATGGACATGGAGAGTAACATGCTGAGTGAAGTAAGTCAGAAGGAGAGGGACAAATACAGAATAATTACACTCATTTGTGGGGGTGGGGAACTGTTAGGATAGAGAAGGGACCTCTATGACAGAAACAGTTGGAAATGATCATTCTGTAGAAGAACTAAGTGCTGAAAGTAGGTAAAGAATAACTTTTCAGTACCTGTATTGCAAATCATAATGCCCAAATGAGGAGAGACAGAGAGACTGAGAGAGAGAGACAGAGAGAGACACAGAGAGAGACAGAAAGACAGACAGAGAGAGAGAGACAGAGAGAGAAAAAGAGAAATGTCTGTCAGGGGTGAGGGGAGGGAAACTGGAGACTCTGGTGGTCGGAAATGTACACTGGTAAAGGGATGGATGTTGGAACATTGTATGACTGAAACCCAATTATAAACAACAATGTAACTGTGTAGCTCATGGTGAACCAATTAAAAAATACACATTTTAATCATGAAAAATTATATATAACAATATGTCAAACTGAAGAATGGGTAATAACTTTTATATGAAATATAATACTATCCAAACACTTAATTAGGATCTCAAACCAATAAATCTCAAGAGTATAGGACTGAGTCAGAGAAAGTGTACAGCAGGTAAGGCATTTGCAGGCTGTTGACCCAGGTTTGATCTCCAGCAATACCATATGGTCCCCTGAGTCCACCAGGAGTATACTAGGTATACGACCTGAATACAGTCAGATGTGGCCAAAACAATAAAAAATAAGAATATAATGTTTACTCCCCCCCCAAAAAAGCTAATCATATATGCATACACTATTTTGTGCCATTATTATAGTTTTTAAAACTTTCAAAGATAATGAGTTGTGAGTTGTCCACAAAATTCCCTTTTTGTCAACAGTTGCAACTGGGAGGAGAGATCATTCAGTTTCACCTCGGTACTGAATTCTCCAGAGTCCTTTGCAACTAAGCGTTGAAACACGACTCTTGTAAGTGAAATCTTAGTGAAACTTTTAAGTGAAAATTCCAAATATATAAACCCTTCTGCCTAGTTTTATATTCTTATTTCCTTCCCACTCCAGCTGCATTGGCAATAATTTTAAAAATCTAACAAGTCCTGAATGATTAATAGAACATATTTATCTCCAACACGGTATTTCACTGAAAATAAACAAAAAACTGCTTTAAAACTTTAGCTATATCCCTGGTTCCCATGATATACTCTAATAAAACATTTATCTTATAATTTCTTTTTTATCTTAACATTTACTCTACTTATTAAATGTTAAATCTTTTCAGGTTTATTACTTGCCTTCCTGATCTGCTGGATCATTTCCTTCATATTCAGTCCCCTGAATAAATTGTAAGATGTTCTGTTTAAAGAATCTCTGGGCCAGGTCTAACACATTTTCTCCATTATCATTGAAGGCTTTTAAAGCTTCTGTTGTATTGCTCATTCTACTCAGCAGAAACTTAAAACAGTGAAGGTGGCCTTCCATGGCGGCTAAGTGAACTATAGATGAGAGAAAAACAAAAACATATTTTTAACGAATAAGTAAGATCACTTGGGAAAAGAGGTAACATGCTAAATTCCATCCTCATTATGATGACTATTATCATTCTAATTAGCAGGACTTCCTCTGTGCAAGGATAATATCTTTTTTTCACAGAACACATGTTCTTATTCAGTCTGTATCTAAGTCATGCCAATGCAACAGACTAAATAGCTACACTTAATGTGATAGGCCCCCAAAAATCATCTTAAATTGTGAAATCCAAATAATGCAGCAATAGTTAAATGAAAAATGCTTATTCTGCAAGATGGATGGATGGTTGGTAGAATAAAAAAGTGAAACATTTATTTTAATATTTTTGGGAAAAACAAAAGAAATAAGCCAAAATAGTCACTAAACAAAGATGAATGATGCTATTCTTATCAATGTGTATGTCAATTTTGCACAATATTACTTTTATTATAAACAATAATACTAAGTCAAAACCAGCAGAGCAACAGCTGCTGAAGACAGAATCAGTGAGCTCCAAAACAAGGTGCTAAAAACCTCCAGACAACAGCAGTACATGGGGAAAAGCCACAAAATGAGGAATAATATGACAAGAACTTTGTGTGAATCGAAGAGGAATAACGTAAGAATCATCAGGACCCCAAAGGGCCAGGAAGGCAACCCTGATAAAGAAGCAATAGTCAAAGATATCATTGCTGAGAAGTTCCCAGAGTTGGAGACTGCACGCACCTAGATCATGGAAACCCGAAGGGTACCAGCTAAAAGAGACCCAAACTGAAATAGTCTAGTAAGAATGATAAAACCATAGAAATAGAATACTAAAAGCAGGAAGATCAAAGAAGTAGCATCCTTAAGATTTACAGCAGGTTTACGAAATGAAAACTTCTAAGGCAATGTTGGCATATAGCAAACAAACAAACAAACAAAACCTCAATGAAATGAATGCCTTACCAAGGCAGACTCAGCCAGACTCTCATTCAGATTTGAAGGAAAGATATACAATTTCATGGATAAACAATAGCTCAGGAACTTCACAGACTCAAAACCATCTTTACAAGAAGAATTAAAAGGGCTAGTTTAAGATAAAACAAGTCCCACAAGCTTGCCAAACTTGTACAAAAAGATGACATAAAAACTCCATGACAATAATCTCTCTCAATGTCAATGTGCTAAATGAACCAATTAAGAGACACAGAGTGGCAGGATGAATTAGATAATTGAATCCAACATTATGCTGCCTGCAAAAAATACATCTGAATAGTCAGAGCAAACACAGACTCAAAATGAAAGGTTGAAAGATACTTCTTCAAGCAAAAACTCCCTCAAAAAGGCTGGGTTGGCCATACTAGAATCAGATGACAGGCTTCAGGCTCAAAAAGGTTATAAGAGACAGCAAAGGCCATTTCTTAATCATCAAGGTATATGTACATCAGGAAGAACTCTCATTCCTGAACATATGCATTTAGTGAGGGACCAGAAAATGCTTAAAGTAACTGCAAATAGACCTTAAAAAAGGCATTGATAGTTACACAATGGTAGTTGGAGACTTCAACACGGTTCTGTCATCTCTCGATAGATCAACTAAGACTAAGGAAATACTCCGTAGGGAAATACTTGCTTGGTTAAAGAATGGAAAAGGTGAGTTTAATGTGTGTGTGTGTGTGTGTGTGTGTGTGTGTGTGTGTGTGTGTGTATGCGTGCACGCTCGTGCGTGCGCCTCTTTTTATTCCCAAACAGCCAAATGCATATTCTTTTAAAATGAACAAGGGACATTCTCAAAGACAGACCACATACTGGGACGCAAAACATACCTCAACAAAGACAAGAGGATAAAAATCATACCAACTATCTTCTCAGAACATGAAGCACTGAAAATAGAAGTCAAACACAAACAGAAATGGAGAAACAACTCAAACACCTGGGAGTAAAATGGCTCATTACTGAACAACCAGTGGGCCGGGAAAAAACTCAAAAGGCTCCTAGAAACAAACGAGAATAAAGACATGACCTACCTACCAGAACTTGTAGAACACAGCAAAGGTAGTGTGAAGAGCAAAGTTCACAGATATGCAAACATTCTTTAGAAATGAAGAAAGGGCCCACTTAAATAACCTAACTGCACAGCTTAAGAAACTGGAAAACAGCCAACGAAAGGAACCCAAAGTAGTCAGGAACCCAAAGAAAATATGGAGCTTAGAGCAAAAATTACTTAACTTTAGTTAATTTTAATTAAAATTAATTAATTAATTAAATTCCAGTAGGCGGGGGTCACACCCACCACCTGGCCCCCTGGCGCCGTGTAATCCCATCAGCGGCCAAGACTCAGAGACTATAAAATCCAGCTCCCGGACGAGAACAGTGCAGTCTCCTGCCCCTGCACCTGGCTGTTCCTCGCCGGGGTCCCTTGGAGGGGAGCGGGTTGAGCTTTCCTCCCCGCCCCGACCAGGGCTCCGGCAGCCGAAGACCTCCAGGACCAGCCACCACCATGCTGAGACCACTCTCCGCACACATGAAGGTACTGGCAGAGGGACAAAGCCACGCGGGTTCCGGGGCCGAGATCTCCAAGCCTACTCGGACTGGAGTCGAGCATCCTCCACCCAGATCCTCCAAATTCCAGTAGGCGGGGGTCACACCCACCACCTGGCTCCCTGGCGCCGTGTAATCCCATCAACGGCCAAGACTCAGAGACTATAAAATCCAGCTCCCGGAACCGCATTCGCGGCCACGCGACATCTTATCAGGACATCTTTTTATGACATCTTATTATCTCATTCCTACTTTGGACAAACTTGCAGGCTATCGAATGTAGCCTGCCCACAGGGCAGCGTCTGGCAAACTCTCCGTGGCGTACCAAATATGCCAAATACCAGTAACAATGATGGGTCTCATTCTTCTAAAGAGCCTTGAATATAATCTCAGGGCTAGGATGAAAGAGACGTTACTGGGGCCTGCTCGAGGCAATCGACGAAAAAAAAATGAATGAATTAATTAAAAAATACGAATGATTAACAAAACCAAGACCTTAAAAAAACTGATAATTAAATCATTAGCAAGACTCACAAAGAAAGGAAGAGAACTCTAGTAAACCAAAGCAGAAATGAAAAGGGGACATCACAACAGATGGCCCAGATACTCAAAAGATCATCAGACATTACTTTGATCATCAAACATTAATTTTTATGCCAAAATACAAGAGAACCTAGAAGAAATGTATAAATTCTTAGACTTCTATAACCTCCCAAGCTGAACCAATAAGATATGGAACTTCTGAACAGACCTATAACTTTCAAAGAAATCAAAATGGTAATCAAAAGTCTTCCCCCCAAAAAAAGCCCCGGCACAGATGAATTCACTAGTAAGTTCTTTCAAACTTTTGAAGCCAATTCTTTGCAGGCTCTTCCAGGAAACTGAAGAAAAAGACACATTTCCAAACAATTTCTATGAAACAAGCATCACTGTGATACCAAAAGCAGACAGAGACACACCGTGATACGAAAGGCAGAAAGAGAAACCACCAAAAAAAAAGAGAGAGAGAATTACAAGCTCATATCCCTGATGAACATAGATGCAAAGATCCTTAATAAAATACTGCACTGTAGCACTGTCCTCCTGTTGTTCATCAATTTGCTCGAGCAGGCATCAGTAACGTCTCCACTGTGAGGCTTCTTACTGTTTTGGGCATATCAAATATGCCACGGGGAGCTTGCCAGGCTCTTCCGTGCAGGCAGAATACTCTCAGTAGCTTGCCGGGCTCTCTAAGAGGGACAGAGGAATTGAACCCGGGTCAGCTGTGTGCAAGGCAAACGTCCTACATGCTGTGCTATCGCTCCAGTCCCCCAAAATACTAGTGAATAAAATTCAGCAACTTAGCAAATATACCATGACCAAATAGGATTCATCCTAGGAATGCAAGGATAGTAAGTAAAAGTAAAGTAAAGGCCCTCCCGTTGATCGTCGATTTGCTCAAGCGGGCCCTGTAACGTCTCCCTTGGAGACTTTGTTGTTACTGTGTCTGGCATATCCAATACTCTCGGTAGCTTGCCGGGCTCTCCGAGAGGGGCGGAGGAATCAAACTCGGGTCGGCCATGTTGGCTGCATGCAAGGCGAACGCCCTACCGCTGTGCTATAAGTAGAACATATGCAAGTAAATCAACTTGATACACCCTATCAATAAAAAAACCTCTCCCTACTTCCATTAACACTCAGGGCCCAGAAACTATTTTCCAAATCTCTTTCTATAAATTTGATAGATTTGTTTCTAGTTCTACATATAAGTGATATTATACAGTATTTGTCTTTATACGGTTTATTTCCATGATGCCTTCAAGTTTTATCTCCAAATACACAGACTAGAGTGACTTCTATTGTTGTTGCTTCTACTTCTAGTCCAACAATAGAGTACAAAAGAAAATCACAATAGATTGTATCAGACTCCTAACTGCTCTATTTCTGCCCTCACAAAAATCTATTATAAACATAATCACAAGAGGTGAAGAGACAGTACAGCAGGGAAGGTGCTTGCCTTGCACATAGCTGACCTGGCTCCCATCCCTGCAACTCTCTATATGGTCCCTCAAACCGGACAGGAGTGACCCCTGAACACAGAACCAGAAGTAAACCCTGAGCACAGTAGGATGTGCCAGAAACAATAAACACAAAAGCAATGTTCTTTCTTTAAATGAATATAATCCCTCTAACTGTTGCAATCTTAACAGTATTAATATCTACAAAGCAATGTTCTTCAACATAAATCAGATAATGTCAATCCAGAGCTCAAACGAACCCAGCACTCCTGCCGTCTCTCTGACCTCAGCGTCCATTACTCACCCGGTCACTTCTATTCCAACCAAGCTGACTCACTGTTCCTCAAAACACCAGGTGTCACCCTATCTCAGGAAATTTGCACAGGCTGTTACCTAGTCCTGAAAGGTGCTTCCTCAGGATAGCTACAAAACTTGCTTTCTCAGTTCTTGTAGGTCCTTACCAGACT